ATGGCCTGGGAAAGCAGTAGAAGATGGCCCAGGTCCTTGGGCCCCTGCACCTGTATGGGAGACCCAGAAGAAGCTCCTGGCTTCAGATCGGCGCAGCTCTGGCCATTGCGACCATCTGGGGCGTAAACCATCGGATGGAAGACCCCTCTCCCTCCCTCCCTCTCTGTGTGACCCTGACTTTCAAATAAACTTTTTTTAAAAACGTGCAAGTGTTATGTGTCAATTAAAAATGTTAAGGGGCCAGCACCTGTAGTGCTGGCATCCCATATGGGCACTGGTTCGAGTCCCGGCTGCTCCACTTCCAATCCAGCTCTCTGCTATGGCCTGGGAAAGCAGTAGAAGGTGGCCCAAGTGCTTGGGCCCCTGCACCCACATGGGAGACCCGGAGGAAGCTCCTGGCTTTGGACTGGTGCGATTCTGGCCATTACAGCCAACTGGGGAGTGAACCAGCAGATGGAAGATCTCTCTCTGCCTCTCCTCTCTCAAGTAAATAAATAAATCTTTAAAAAAAAAATTTTTTTTTTTTTGACAGGCAGAGTGGACAGTGAGAGAGACAGAGAGAAAGGTTTTCATTTGCCGTTGGTTCACCCTCCAATGGCCGCCACGGCTGGCGCGCTGCGGCCGGCACACCGCGCTGATCCGAAGCCAGGAGCCAGGTACTTATCCTGGTCTCCCATGGGGTGCAGGGTCCAAGTACTTGGGCCATCCTCCACTGCACTCCCTGGCCACAGCAGAGAGCTGGCCTGGAAGAGGGGCAACCGGGACAGAATCCGGCTCCCCGACCGGGACTAGAACCCGGTGTGCCGGCACCGCAAGGCGGAGGATTAGCCTAGTGAGCCGCGGCGCCGGCCTAAAAAATTTTAAAGCAGCGGAAGAGTCCATGGGAGCTGGTGCAGTGGGTTCAAGTCCCAGCTGCTCCACTTCCATCCAGCTCTCAGCTGGGGCATGGGAAAGCAGTGGAAGATGGCCCAAGTGCTAGCGCTCCTGCGCCCGTGAGGCTCCTGGCTTCAGATCAGCCCAGCCCTGGCCATTGCGGCCATTTGGGGAGTGACCCAGCAGATGGAAGACCTCTCTCTCTCTCTCTCTCCCTCCCTCTCGGTCTTTCAAATTAAAAAGTTCATGGGAAAGGAAATACAAAAGGCGCTGTGTAAACTAAAAACACGTTCATACCAGAAGCCACAGCGTGAGCACCTGTGATGGTAATGGGTGCTTCATAAACACGTTGCTGTGGCACAGGTAAAGCCACCTGCAGTGCCCGCATCCCACATGGGCGCCAGTTCGAGTCCCAGCTGCTCCACTTCCAATCCAACTCCCTGCTAATGCGCCTGGGAAAGCAGCGGAGGACGGCCCCAATGCTTGGGCTCCTGCACCCCCATGGGAGACCTGGAAGGAGGTCCTGGCTCCTGGCTTCAGATCGGCTCAGCTCCAGCTGTTGTGGCCACCTGGGGAGTGAACCAGCAGATGGAAGACCTAACTCTGCCTCTCAGATAAACTTAAAGAAAAAAAAAAAAAAGGAGAAAGAAAGAGAGCCACAGAGAGGGACGCACACAGGTCTTCTCTCCGCTGGTTCACTCCACAGATGCCCGCCACAGCTGGGGCTAGGGAGACGCTGAAGCTAGGAACCCACGAGAGCCAGGTCTCCCTGGGCCATCACCTGCGGCTTCCTGGGAGGTGGAGCAGCCAGGGCGGGAGCAGGCACTCCCCCCGCGCCACAGGCCCGCCCTGGGGGCTGCACGGCGCCCGGGGCGCCCCGGACCACCACGCCTGCTCTCCCGGTTGCGAGTCTGTGCCCAGGGAGACCGACAAGGGTCGCACCCCAGCCCCCGCACCCTAGGCTGCTCAGACTCGGAAGGCATTGCCCCCGCGAGAACCCACTTAACCTTTCCCTGTGCTTAACCACAGCGCGCGCACAAGAAGCCCACTTTTCCAGGTGCGCAAAGTGCGCCTCGGCCAGACCCAGGCCACACCACCGCCTCTTAGGATGACCAGGCGTTCCCGGAGCCAAGCCAGGGGCAGCTGATGGGACAAACAGGGCACACTCAGCGGCTACCACCTCTCATCACGAAGCCGCAGGCTCCAACCGCGCACCTGCGCCCTCGGCGCAGCCCCCGAACACCCTCCTCCTCGTTCAAGCTCCACCCGCGGCTGACCACGGAACGCACGCAATCCACGCCACAGCTTCTAGACGCGCGCGAAACCCTCGCCAAGCGACTTCCCCACGAGCGAGACCCGCAACGCCTGCGCCCCTCGGTTTGGCCAAGCCACAAACACTCCTTCCCACGCGCAACCCCAAAGCCACGGTCCGCGCGCTCCCACGGGCGCCCGGCCAAGCCATGCGTCCGAGGACCACAGGGCGGGCAGGCGGGCGACCCGGGAGCCCGGCCCAGATGTGTGGCCGCCAGACCGCGGGCCCCGACAGGGCGGACCCGAGCTCCGGAGCCCTCGCGCAGGCCGCCGCGTGGAGGGAGGACGCGGGTGGCCGGCCGGACGCCACAGGGACGCCTGCCGGGGCCCCGCGGAACCACAGCACTCTGCAGCAGGACACTTTGCAAGTCCCCGCAAGTGCCGGCGTGCCCAGGGCACTGCCCCCCTGGGCGGACCCAGGCCGCTCGGACACTCGAACACTTCCGACCCCCGAGCCCGCAGGACACGCAGGAGCTGCGGGCCTCGGCCCGACCCTCCGCCGCCCCGCCGGGCTCCACTTACTTCTTCTCTCCCTCGAAGAGCAGAAACGACTCGAAGGCCGGAGGTGCGTTCATCCTGGGACCGCGGCCCGCCGGCGACTAGACAGCCGCCGCCACCGCCTCCAAACCCGACCGCGCGACTGCTTCCGGGTCACGCCGGCGGCGCCTACCGCGCCAGGACCGGCTCACTGCCCCCTAGCGGCGGGGAGGAGCTAGCGCAGGCGCAAGAAAAATTTCCTCTGCGCATGCGTCAGCCCGGAGGCCGCGTCCCCGCCGCGCTCCACGCCTTGGCCAGGGGGCGCGGCTCCAGGGTGCAGGCAGTCGGAGCGCTGCGCTGGCCGGGGGGCCCGGCGAAGCGGGAAGCCGGAGCTACGCCTGTGTCCGCTGCCCATGCTTCTTGATCTCTTCTTTGGAAATGTGCCTTGGAATGCACTGCAGCAGGCCCCGGCACAGATCAGAGCCATGGGGTAGTGGGAGGCCGTGGCTGGGGTCGAGGAAAGTCTTGTGGTCAGAGTGATAGGCGTGGACGGCCCCTCCAAGGCACCCGGCCAACAGCCACGAGGCCCTGGTCACCGGCGTCTTGTTGGCGGGGGCAGCTGGGTGAGCGCTGGGAGGAGCAGGTGCGACAGGTGTGACGGGGGGGTGGAGGGATACAGGTGCACCACCCCCCCTTGAGCTCCTGATTGGTACCAAAGGCCCTCCCGGAGCTGTTGGGCCAACAGGGACTGGGGGCTCAGAGCAACCACCGGGACCCTGGTTGCAGCCTGGAGCCCCCACGGGAATCGCATCTCCCTGCGCGGGGGCGGAAGGGGGACACTTAGTACCTGGGAACTGCCGCTCTGCCCGGGGCCGTGGGTAATGAGCCACGCCCTCTCGGGTCATCCTGAAGACTTTAGGACGCTGCCCTTCGGAGACCTGGAGGTGACGCCTGGCCAGGGTCCAGAGCAGGGGATTCCCCCCCACCATCCCGGCCAGCACCATGGACGGCTGCTCTCCTGGGGGAGTGCTGACCCCACTCGCCAGAGCGGCACACCCCCAGACTCTTCTGCAGGTCCATGTGGGGTGCCCCACGAGGGGATGGTGTGACCACAGCCTGGAACAGCTAGGCGAGGGGCACAACTACACAGTGGCCTGGGCCCCGGCATCCCATATGGTCGCCGGCTCATGTCCCGGCTGCTCCACTTCCAATCCAGCTCCCTGCTAATGCACCTGGGAAAGCAGTAGTAGATGGCCCAAGTGCTGGGGCCCCTGCACCCACGTGGGAGACCCGGATGAGGCTCCTGGGTCCTGGCTTCGTCCTGTTGCAGCCATCTGGGGCGTGAACCAGCAAATGCGCTCCGTCTCTCCTTCTAACTCCAACTTTCAAATAAATAAATCTTTATTTAAAAAAGAGAGATGCACATGGGCTAACAGGTGAGGAATGGATGCACTGTGTTCTCCGTGCTGCTCTGGGAGGGAGGCTGAAGGCCGTGAGCGCAGGGGGCGGGGGTGGGGCAGGGAAAGGGGGTGTTGGGGTGAGGGAGCAGGCTGGCTGAGCCCCGCCGGGAGGCGCAAAGCCCCCACCCACCCTGCACTCGGGCTGACTGTACAGCAGGCAGTGGCCCTCTGCTGGTCATCGTGGGGTGGGCGCAGGGTGTAGCCTGGGCACCACGGGGTGAGGGACCCTGCCTCTGTCACCTGCTGTGTGACCCAGTGACGTCATCCTGCCCCAGGAGGCCGTGGGGGCTCCAGGTGGGCAGGGGGCAGGGCCTGGTGGGGGAGGAGGCGCTGGCAAAGCCCCAGAGGAACCGACCAAGGGCAGGCAGGCCAGCTCCCAGGATGTGGGCCATGGACTGGACTCCACTCTGGCTGACAGTGGGACCAGCGTGGGGACCCCTGGTGATGAGGGCACTAGACAAACCCCAGGGCTCAGGGATGGGCTGGGGCCGGTCAGGGGGGGTGGTGCTGAAGGCCCTGGGGGTGGTGCCTTGAGCTGAGTCACTGTGGACACAGCTGGTGCCCACCCTGGCAGCGGGAGCAGACACGGCCTGGCCAGCGCGCTGGGCATCAGCCCGGGCAGGTGCCGCCTGCGTGTGCATGGCGGTGGGGAGGGGTGCTCCTGCATCTTGGGGCCGGGGGCTTGGGTGCAGACAGCAGCTGGAAGGCCCACGGGCCTCTGTGGCCTGTGAGGGGTAGGGGTGGGGCCCAGGAATGCAGTGGGGACAGCAGCCAGGTAGAGAAAGGAACCCCGATCCCAAGTGAGGGGGTGGCACCCTCCTTGGGCCAGCGACCTCAGGGTCCTCTCCCTGGACCCCCATCTCAAGAGCCCAGAGCCTCGGCTGTCACGGCAGGTTTATTGTCGGCAACAGAACACTGCGACCCTCAGCACAGGGCCAGGCAGTGAGGGGAGCATGGGGCTGGGGGCTGGGAACCAGGGGGCACTCAGATGGAGGCCTGGTCTCCGGGGTCTGGGAGAGCAGCCCACCTGGGCAGGGGTGGGGTGGGGACCCTCCAACGGTGGCTTTGGGCTGGACTTGCCCTTGGCAAGGCAGGGGGAGGGGTGTCCCTGGAGAGCCTGGCCCGGGGCGGCAAAGACCCAGACCCCCGGAGCCGTGAGGTCGGCCATGCTGCGCAAAGCCCCGCCGGCTCCCGACTTCCAGGGCTTCTCGTCCCTGGCTCCTGCATGCCAGGGACCAGGCGGAGGGCCCGAGAACACGGCACCAGGCAGTACGGCGGGGCAGGCCTCAGGTCTGCACTGCCAGCAGGCGGCTGGGCTCGGCGGGCAGGGTGCTGGCTGGGAGGGCGCCGTGGGCCTCGCGCAGGTCCTGCAGGATCCGCAGCAGCCGGGCCAGGGAGCCCTCAGGGGCTGCAAGCGGAGGGGCCGTGAGGGCGGGCGTGGCCTCTAGAGCCTGAGGACCCCCGTCCACAAGGGGTGCGGGGCTTGGGCCGAGGGACCTACCTTCCCCAGGGCAAGTCAGCTCCCGACACTTCTCCCTGTGGGACACGACAGAGTGAGGGCCAGCAGCCACAACCCACCCCCCTGCACTCCGCCAGGGCTGCAGGTGACCCAGAGAGGCCGCGGGTAGCCCTGGGGGGCGGGGGTCGACCAGAAGGCCCCTTGCTAATGGGCTCAAACCCACAGCGATAGGAGCCAGTGGTATTTCAAGCACCGTTCCTAATGGGGTTCACACAGCAAGGATGCACGGCCGTGCCCAGCGGGGCTCCAGGCTCCTTGTCCAGGGTTTCTCCTGGCTCAGCCCTCACTGTCTCCCTCATCTGCTCTGGGAGGGCTGTGCCCCTCTGTGCTGCCCTCCTGGCCCCAGGGGACCAGGCCCTGCAGCTTCCGGGACACCGAGTGGTCACCCTCCCTCCATGCTGCCCCCCTCCCCTGCGGCACCCTCCGCGAGACCCTGTCCAGCCTCACATCTGCCTTTCGCTTTTCCGGCATCTGCTGAGGGCCTGGGCCATGCACGCCAGGCCCTGTGAGCAGCCCTGGCGTTCCAGAAGTGGGCACCAGCTCAGCGTGGTCAAGCGACAGGCAGGAAATAAGCAAACAGCTGAGGGGCACAGAAGCCGGGGATGGCTGAGCAATGCGTCTCTGTCAAGCGCAAAAGGCCTGGGGTGGCACGGCCACCATGCAGCGAGACAGCAGAGGGGTCTCTGCAGCAGGCTCGGCCCATGGGAGGAGGGAGGCCGGAGACGAGGCCGAGAGGCAGCCGGCCAGGGCACTGCCTCTGGGTTTCACACGTGTGGGAAGCCGCTGGGGTTCTATGCAAGGGAGGAAAATTATCTGTTAGGTTTTAGAAGCCGATCCAGGGAGGCTGAGTGGGGGCAGTGAGGAGGGAGCAGCTCCGGGGGTCGGAGCTGGGCCCACTGTGAAAGGGGACCGGCAGGGGGCGGGGGCGGGGCGACCAGGTGGCGTGGGTTCCAACCTCAGCCACACAGGATCAACACAGCAACCCGAATCCTGCAGGGGTTATACGTGGAGGGGAGCTGGAACAGGGTCTCATGGACATGGCGGGGAGGGGAGGCGGGGGGCAGGTGGACACAGCCCTTAGGTGGACAATGAGGTCACCAGACAAGGGGATGGGGGTGGGGGTGCAGTGCGCTAGGCCAGGCCATCAAGGAGAGGAGGCGATGGCAAAGCGACCAGGGCCGCACTCCCAGGGGAGCAGGTGCATCTGGTGGGGCGGAGGGAGAGCCAAAGCCTGTGCAGGGACCAGATGAGCCCTGGAGACTGGAGGAGGAACAAGGAAGCGCTCACTCAGTGCCAGCCCCGGGAGTGAGGGACCCCTGGCCTTAAACACCCCGGGGCCGAGCCCACCCAGAGGTGCACAGATGGAGCCCGGCCTCTTCCTTCTTGCTCTTTCTTTTCTTCCTGCCTTTTTCCTTTCCTTTCCTTCTAAGGTTTGTGTGTTTATTTAGCGCAAAGGTAGAGTTACAGAGAAAGATCTTCCATCTGCTGGTTCACTCCACAGACATCCGCAACAGCCAGGGCTGAGCCCAGCCATTAGCAGGAAGCTGGATTGGAAGTGGAGCAGCCAGGACTCGAACCGGTGCCCCTCTGGGGTGTTGCAGACGGAGGCTTTACCTGCTGTGCCACAGTGCTGACCCTGTGGCATCCTGTTTCTTAAAATTGTATTTAGCGGGGGCTGGGCGGTGGTGCGGTGGATAAAGCCACCACCTGCAGTGCCGGCATCTCATGTGGGACGGCCCAAGTGCTTGGGCCCCTGCCTCCCATGTGAGAGACCCAGATGGAGTACCAGGCTCCTGGTTTCAGCCTGGTCCAGCCCGGGCTGGAGTGGGCATTTGGGGAGTGAACCAGAACAACTCTCCATCCCTCTCCATTGTCACTCTGTCTTACAAAGAAGTAAATAAGTAAACCTTTGAAAACAAAGTTACTTTTTTAAAAGCCTCCTGTTTTTCTAAACTGGCTGGGGCTGGGGGCACTAGGGGGAGGCGGGCAGAGGGGCCGCAGTGGTCTCCACCCAGTGGGGGGGGGCCTGGATCCCAGCCGCAGCCCCCGGCCCCTCCCTCACCGTAGCGCAGGCTCCACGCCCAGCAGGTGCCGGTAGATGAGCTGAGCCTCCAGGTCGTGGTCCAGCGGGTCACTCCACTCCTGCAGGGTCACCCGCGACCGCGTCCTGTCGCAGCCCCCGTCTGGGCAGAGAGAGAGGGCAGAGTTAGGGGCGGGCACCAGGCGACCGCCACCAGCCACTTCCTGTGAGGGGCGAGGCCCCAGAGGCCCGGGCCTGCCCACTCTGTCCTGCTCCCCCCTCCCCGAGGCCGGCAGCTCCTCTCGGGTTCAGCTCCCAAACCATACAACCCACGACCTCGGAGCACAGGGGCCGTGCAGGACACCACGCGGGGAAGGCCACGTGACCTCTGGGAGGTCACGGTGTGTGGGGCGGGGGCCGCTGGGGCTCGGGCCCTGAAATGCCCCTGCCACTTGTCATCTGCCCCCTCCCAGCCACCCCCCCATCTCTTCTGTGAAGCTGAGGGACAGCCTCGCCCCTCAGGCCACGGGGAGCCCCCTTGCAAACAATGAGGGCATCGCTGGGATGGGCACAGCAGAGGCTGCAGCTCAGGGCCACCCACCAGCAAGGCCCTTGCAAGGGGCCACTGGGAGCCACCGAGCCCCGCCCACCACCCAGCAGCAAAGCCAGGGCTGTACTGGGGCAGCAGGGATTGGGGGGGCGAGGCAGGCTGGCCTCTCCCACGCTGGGCCTGGCCTGGCCCACAGGCCGAGGGCACAGGGTCTGAGTCCGCTCTGCAAAGCCTAAGGGAGGGAGGGAGTTGGAAAGTTCCAGATCTGGGACGGGTGGTGTGGTGCAGTGGTTAGCCACGGCCTGTGACGCCGGCATCCCATATCCCAGTGCTGCCTGGAGTCCCGGCTGCTCTGCCTCCTATCCAGCTCCCTGCTAGTGCACCTGGGAAAGCAGCGGAAGATGGCCCAAGTGCATGGACTCCTGCACCTACGTGGGAGACCAGGATGGAGCTCCAGGCTCCTGGCTTCAGCCTGGCCCAGCCTTGGCCACTGGGGGCATTTGGGGAGTGAACCAGTGGATGGAAGGTATGTATCTCTCCCTTTCTCCCTCTCTCTTGTCACTCTGCCTTTCAAATAAATATTTTTAAAGAGTGTGTGCTAACACGGCAGTCACTAGCCACGTGAGGCTAAAATCAAATAACATCGTGCAAATTTGAGGCCTGGCTCCTAGGCTGCCCCGGCCACATCTCAAGTGCCAGGGGCCGGGGTTCTGCACCCCTTCCAGCATCACCAAGAGTCCTTCTCGAAGCTTCTCCCTGCCTGCCCCCGCCCCCCTTCCCCGGCCAGCTCCAGCAGCAGGCTGGCCCTTACGAACAGGATTCTGGGGGCAGGTGTCTAGCTTAGTGGGTACCAGAATAAGACGAGGGTTCCCTAGGGTCCCCGTCACATGAGCCTGGGAAGCCAGGAGACCGAGGGACCGTGACGAGCGTCCAGCCCCCCTCCGAGCTGTCACCACGTCACGTGGCACCTCCCAAGTCGCCCGGGCCCGGACCCTTTTTTGCCCAGAGACTCTCAGACGCTGGCTTCCCAGCCCAGGGCAGGGAGCCGGAGCCTGCAGTGACGGACGTGGGGCAGGGGGCGGGGCCCCACTCCCACCTGACTTGTCCCGCTGGTGGCAACAGCTCCACTTGTCCCCGCGGAAGACACCGGGGTGGTAGGAGCCCAGCAGGCCCGGGTTGTTGAAGCTCACTTTCCGCAGCGCCGACAGCCACTGGTTCAGCTCATTCACACACTGGAGGGCACGCGTGGAGGCTGAACCACTCACAGGTCACCTCCTCCAGGAAGCCCTCCCTCCCCGGAGCTCCTACACCACACCCGAGGGCACGGGGCTGTTTGAGCAGAACACAGGCTGGATGTCGGCCCCCTCAGCCCCATCCCTGGGTGTTCCAGACCCGCCAGCAGGCCCTGCGCCTGGGAGCTCCTCTCTGCCAGCCAGGAAGAGGCACTCCCAGGGTCCTGGGACCTCAGCCTTCCCATGAGTCCTTGCCCCAGACACGCCCCTGGCTCACTGCCCCGCCCCGTCCCAACCCCCGTACTTTCTCCCTGGCACCCCACTTGACCCGTCTTCTCCCCGGGGACACAGGCCCCTCCAGGGGGGGCCCCTCACCAAGAAGCACCCAGCAGGGACACAACACACTAGAGCAGACAGATGGAACGAAGGACTTGGCATGCCAACCCTGAGAGGGGGCACTGGCGGGCCGCATCGCCACCTGCTCAGGTGTGCGGGAACAGCGTCCCAGAAATGGGTGTCCCGGGCAGGCTCCAAATCACAGGCTGGCCCCCGCCCGGGCACCCTGAGCCACACACACAGAGCTCCCCGCGGATGCCCCCGGACAGCCACAGGCCCTGGCCTCCCGGGATGGACACGCGCGCACACGCACGCACACACAGCCCCTGGCCGGGCCCGCACCTTGCACTGCAGGTAGGCGGTCTGGGGCCGGCCCGCGTCGTCCGTGTAGATGACCTGCATGACGTGGGAGCTGCCGAAGCTCTTCTCCTCCACCTTCTCGGCCGCCTGGATGTTGGCCAGCTTGATAAGGGCACTCTTCTGCGACAGGCAGGCAGCGGAAGAGAGGGTGAGAGGCCCAGCAGGGGTCACCCCACGTGCCCACTGCTGGGCTGCGCGCAGCCTCTCCTGGGAGCCCGCTGTGTGAGTGACCGGCTCAGGCCCGAAGCCCAGGCCGCCCAGGCCTGCTGCCGGCCTACTGCCTGGCTGGCCACACAGCTGTTCCTCTGCTCCCAGGCCTGCTGCTGGCTGCGGACCAGGCCCTGCGCCTCTGTCCTGCGTAGTCACAGAGTCCGAGCCATGCCATGCCCTCCCGCCCACCACGACAGAGAGAGCCATGCATCCAAAATCGCCACTGCTGGTGGGGTTTGGTGCAGGGGATAAGACTATGCTTGGCCGGCGCCGCGGCTCACTAGGCTAATCCTCCACCTAGCGGCGCCGGCACACCGGGTTCTAGTCACAATCGGGGCGCCGGATTCTGTCCCGGTTGCCCCTCTTCCAGGCCAGCTCTCTGCTGTGGCCCGGGAGTGCAGTGGAGGATGGCCCAAGTGCTTGGGCCCTGCACCCCATGGGAGACCAGGAGAAGCACCTGGCTCCTGCCATCGGATCAGCGCGGTGCGCCGGCCACAGCGCGCCAGCCACGGCGGCCACTGGAGGGTGAACCAACAGCAAAGGAAGACCTTTCTCTTTGTCTCTTTCTCTCACTGTCCACTCTGCCTGTCAAAAAATAAAAATAAATAAATAAATGAATCAAAAGGGGGCCGGTGCTGTGGTGCAGCAGGCTAAGCTGCAGCCTGAGAGGCCAGCATCCCATATGGGCGTCGGTTCGAGTCCCAGCTGCTCCACTTCCGATCCAGCTCCCTGCTGGTGAACCGGGCAAAGCAGCGGGAGACGGCCCCCATGTGGCAGACACGGAAGGGGTTCCTGGCTCCTGGCTTCGGCCTGGCCCAGCCCCTGCCGCTGTGGCCATCTGGGGGGGTGAACCGGTGGATGGAGACCTCCCTGTCTCCCATCCTTTCTCTATAACTGACTTTCATATAAAATCCTCAGTAACCATGAATGAAGTGATTTGATTCATTGGCCCCACGTCCCCAAGGGGCCTTCAATTTTTGAGCCCCTGCTCTCTCTGCTCAGGGAACGCCCACTCCCAGCCCACGGCCCCCACTGCGGCAGGGCCCAGGAGGGCAGGGGGCGGGGCCTGACACAGGACAGAGGCGACAGAGTAGGGCCAGCGAGCTCCTTCACCCGCCCCCAGCCTCTCTCACCTGCTGGGGGCTGGGCCAGGCACCCCGCACACCACCCCCCTAAGCCAGGAGAGGCTGGGGCCAGGGGACGCAGCTCTCCGCTGACTCCGCCCCTTCGTGGGAGGACGGAGCCCGAGGGAGGCCAGCCCAGGGCATGTCTTGCCTCTAGCTTGCCAGCATGGTGCTTGGTGCCGGGCCCTGGGTTTGGACCCCCAGAGACCACCTGGTGTAAGTCTCCACAGGCAGGGACCACCCACCCGAGTGGGCAGGCAGGGCCCACAGCGGGTGAGACACTTGCCCTGTGCACACACGGCTGGGCCGGGGCTGCAGCCCAGGCCTGGAAGCGAGCAGTGGGATGCCCGGGCCGGGGCCTGGCCACCTCCTCTGCCCCGGGGGCTTGGGTAAGGGGCGGGGGCAGTGGGGACTCCCACCTTGGAGCCGGGCGTCTTGGCGAAACTGAGGGCCTCGGTGGTGAGGGAGAAGTAGAGCTTCTTGAAGCAGGAGCCCAGAGGGCCCTTGCCCTTGGCCCTGTGGATGAAGAGTGGCCCCTCCTTCACGGGCGGCGCTGGCAGGCTGAGAGACCGCTGCAGGTCCAGCTCTGCGGTGCGCAGGGAGGGGCCTGAGCTCAGGCAGGGGGCGGGGCCGGGGCGGGGGCCAGAGCCAGGGGCGGGGCCAGAGCCAGGGGCGAGGCCAAGGGGAACTGAGACCATGGGCAGGGACTGGGAGGGACAATGAGGGCAAGGCCCAGGGACAGGGCCAGAGATGGGGGCGGGCAAAGGGAAACTGGGGTCTGTGGGCGGGGACAAGGGTTCAGGGGGCGGGGCAAAGGGAACTGAAGACTTGGGTGGAGATGGACAGGGAGAGAGGCTCAGGGGGCGGGGCAAGATAGAACTGGAGACTGGGTGGAAGTGGGTAGGGCCAGGGATCCAGGGGCGGAGCAAAGGGAATTGGAGACTGTGGGTGGAAATGGGCGGAGCCAGGTGACGGTGCAAAGGAGAACTGGATGCTGTGGGCGGGGCCAGGGGCAGAGCAAAGGGGAATTGGACTCTGTGGGTGGGGCCAGGGGCGGGGCCAAGGGGGACCGGAGGCCGCGCACAGCCGCGCTCACCCTCCTCCTCCTCGAGGTCCACCAGCCTGGTGATGAACTCCTTGAGCTGCGCCGCGCCCTGGCGCACCGTGGGCTGCAGAGGCTCCATCCACGCCTCCTTGGCCCTGGACGCCAGCGTGTCCATGTTGCCCACGTTCTGAACGGCCTGGGCACGGGGGTGGGGGGGTGGGGGGTTGACAGCAGGCAGGACCAAGGGTCACCGCAGCCCACTCCCCCGCAGCTGCTGGGATGGCGGCAGCGCTGGCAGAGGCCTTGTCCGCGGACCCGCCCCAGCCTCAGTGGGCATCGAGACCCGTCCCTCGGCTCGAGTGCCCACGCGAGACCACCGGGGCCGGGGTGGGGGCCCCTGCGCCGCCCCCGGCCAGGCCCCCCCACCTTGGCCAGCAGGAGCAGGGTGCGGCTGGTGCGGGCGTCCGCGTGCCGCTCCCGCAGGTGGAAGAGCTTGGGGGCCATGATGGCCGGAGAGAAGAAGCGCAGGCACAGGAAGCTGGTGACGGCGACGAACGGCGCGTTCTGGAGGGCAGAGCGGGGGTGGGGCTGGGTCCCGGGAGGGCCCTGGGCTCGCCGCCCCCGCCCCCAGCCCGGGGCCCCTCGGACCGCGCACCTCGTGCTGGGCGCCGGGGAAGCGCTCGCGCACGCGCAGGAAGAGCTGGCGGAAGGTGGCGCGGACCACGGCGGGGCACGCGCGGACCGAGCGACAGATCGCGCTCAGCAGCGCCCCCAGGTGGGCACGCAGCGTCTGCGCACTCTGCTCCAGCACCTCGGCTTCCGTCTGCGCCCGGTGCAGCCCGGAGCACCTGCGAGAGCCGGGGCGGGTGGGCACCGAGGGTCGCGGGCAGCACGGCCACGGGGGACACAGAACGACACACACAGGTGGGCAGGGTGACGGCAGGTAAACCCAGACACCCCCTCTCCCTCCCTCCCCGGGTTCCCCCAGGCCTCACCCTACGTCTCTAACTTCCACCCTGCTGGGGTCCAGCTCCACGTACTTCTTCTCTTCAAACACCCTGTCAAGGACGGGGCCCAGCACGCCGTGCAGATACCGCATCCCCGCCACCTGGGGGCCACCGCGAGCCGCGTTGGTCCTGCCTCCCCCTCCCCACGCCCCCAGCCCCAGGGAACTGCCAGGGTGCAGCCAGGTGCGGGAGCAGGCAGCCCGGTGCACCGATTCCCCGTGAGAGCGCCAGTGGCATTCTTAGCCATACAGGGCCCCGGGGGCCGCAGGCAGACGGCATGGTTCTGTCCCAGCTCTGAAATGGAATGGAGACAACAGCCCGGGCGACCTCACCTTCAGAAAGGACTCCATGGACTTGGAGGCCAGAGAGTTGCTTCGAAACAGGGTGTTGGCCTCGCCTGCAAGAGGATGTCCCAGTGGGGGGGGGGGGGGACGAGGACAGAGGGCCTGGGCTCCCACCCCGCTGTCCACCTCTGCCCATGGCTGCTTCCCCTGCCTCCCTATGAGTCCACCCCAACCACCGCCGCCGCCGCCACCGCCGGCTCCCTCCCAGGCCTCACTGGTGCGGCCCAGCTCCAGCTGGAACAGCAGGTCCAGGAAGTCCTTGGCCAGCCCCTGCCCCAGGAAGAGCTTGAGCAGGTTGGTGGCCACGTCCTGGCGGCACTCGGTGGTCGTCGTCTCCTCGATGATGGGGATCAGCTGCCCGGGGCCCTGCAGGAGGCAGCGGGGAGTGGCAGGGCTGGGAGGCCCCCTCTCCGCAAGGAAGCCTGCAGAGCCCCAGGGGACCCGGGAGGGGGCGCTTTGCCGAGGAGTGGCTAGGTGCACGGCGTGGGGCCCTGACCAGTTCCTTCACATCCTGAGGACAGGGGACACAGGCCGCTGCCGCTGGACCCGCCCGCCTCCCCCAGGGCCCCCTCACCTGGGCACCCAGCGTCACCTCCTGGCACAGCAGCTGCACCAGAGGCTGGTAGCAGCTAGAGGGCAGCACCGTCTCGTCCCGCAGCCGCACCTCCAACTGCAAGGAGCCCAGGTTGCCCCTGGAATGGGCAGCCCGTGACCTCTCCACCGGCGATGCAGGCCACCCGCTGCCCGGGGTCGCTCCCCTCCGGGCCGGCCTCAAGTCTCCCCGATCCCACCCGCCACCTGCCCAGGCTGTGCCGGGCCGCTTCCTGCTCCCGCATTACATGGGAACGCCATCGGTCTTTAAGGCCTGACTCTCTGCCGCCTGTCTGCAAACCTTCCCACCCACAGTCTGCCCCAGAACAAGTCCCCCAGCGGATCCTGGTGCCACCTGCCAGGGACGCCAAGGCTCCGGCAAGCTAAGCACGTGGCCCGGTTAGACCTAACACCCCAGCTTCCTCTCTCTGATGGAACCTTAAACTTCTCTAAGCCCTCCTCCGCCCTCTGCATGGCACAGCAGCAGCCATCAAGATGGGTCCTGGGCTGGACGCACACCTGTCCACCTGGCCTGCACCTGCTTAAGGGCCCTGTGCAGGGAGACAGGGCTAAGGCGTCCTGGGGTGTAGGGTGCTCGGGCCAGATAGGGCTGTCAGGTTTAATGAAGGCACAGCACAGGACATCCAGCGAAAGTGGAATATTTCTAGGAAGTTTATGTTGGAAATCCCTACCCTAGCATACTCGTGTCAAGCCGAAGTCCAGTGTTAAGTGGCTGTCCTGTGTTAGCTAAGAGCAAGTCTGCTCCCAGAGGGTCCTGGGGAGGAGTCAGAGCTGTGTCTCAGGACACGACTCTGGGGACCTGAACCCTCATCTGGGAGGTCTGCAAGGAAGCCATTAAAGGGAAAGGGTTGAGGTTGTTTTTTTTTTTTTCTTTCTTTCTAGAAACTTCCAGAAGGCAGAAAGCATTTCTGAGCTCAGAGGCCAGAGCTGTGGGGAAGGCAAGGAGCAGGCAAGTCTACAAACCCAGGGCTGGGTCCCCAGCCCTCTGCCCAGCCCCCTGAGGCCCCCAACCCCACTGCCCACGTGCGAGTACTCACTCATGCCGCCGCCGCTTGGCCTGGTCGGGCTGCAGGCGGAACCAGCCCTCCTCCAGCCGGGCTGCCCACAGCCTCTGCACGCTGACCACCACCTGGAGGGCAGGGCAGGCAGGGGCTGCATGGGAGGGGCACCTGCCAAGGGGCCCTGGTCCTGAGCGGTCCTCCCTGGGCCAGGTGTGTGGCAGGTGCAGCCTGGGGGAGGGGCTGAGCTCACTTTGCCCAAGAAGTCGTTCCGGCTGACCAGGTCCCAGTCCCAGGCCTCCACGCACAGCGTCTCAGCCGCCCCCTCCTCAAGTTCAAACTCGAAGGTCTCGTTCCAGCGGGGGTAGCACGACTTCTTCACGATCTGGCCCAGGAAGGGGTGGGCAGGGCTAGGGCGGGGTCCTCTGTGTCCCCCACCCTCCAGCCCAGGATGGAGCCACCACCCTGGCTGTTTCCTGGAGGGGTGGGAAGCGGGGTGGGCAGCTGTGGGCTCTTACCATCCCCCTCCCCTCCTGTCCAGCATGCAGCCACAAGGGCTGGGGCCCCCTGCCACCCCTCTGAAAGGCAGTGCCAATCTGACCTCCTAGGGGCTGGTGAGGGGGAGAGGCAGTGTCCCTGAGGGTCCCATCCCCCCACCCCGGCCCCTCACCGAGGTCTCCTGTGTCCGGCCATTGTAGCGCACACGGACAAAGGGGTCAGATGCACCATTCCTGTCCTTGGGGGCAAGGCCCCTGCGGGGTGGGGGGGACATCGAGGGAGAGCCATCATTCTCTTGTCACCCAAGCACGCACCCCCCACCCCATCCCAGTCCAGCCTGCCCCTGGCTGCCAGCGTCCCCACAGCAGTCACCCCAGGGACCCCACGTGGCCACCTGGAGGAGGGAAACGTGGCTCCCCCAGACGGAGCAGCGGCCGGTCACCTGCCAGCTTCCTGCCCGGACCCTGCCCTGCGTGGGCCACTGTGGGCCCAGAGCCCTCGGGGAGAACAGGGCCAGCTGCCCCCTGCTTGCCGTAAACACTGCCTGCCTCTCCCACGCCGACCTCACGCTTGGGGGCGCAGGGTTGGGCGACTGGCTGAGTGCTGCTCGGGGCACCTGCTCTCCATACCACAGTGCCTGCTTTTACGCCCCAGCGCCGCTCCTGACCCAGCTCCCTGCTGATGCGCCTGGGAGGAGCAGCTGAGGGCTCAAGTGCCCCCCACGTGGAGCCCGTGGGTGAAGCTCCTGGCTCCTGGCTTTGGGCCCTGCCTGCGGTGGGCATCTGGGGAGGGAACCAGCACACAGGAGACCTGTGTCTCTCTCTGCCTTCCAAATAAAAAGAAAATAAAGTCAGATTTTCCCGAAGCTGGACGTGGAGAATCCTAGAATAGGAAGAAGATGTCCTTCCTCCATTTGTGGCAAACAGGGCTCCTGGTGTGTCTTTGCTGAGGCCCAAGGGGGGACAAGTCCCCTCCCTCTGCCCACAGCGCCCCTCTCTGCTGAGACTTGGGAAGCGGCTGCCTCCGTGTCCCCAGGAACGGAGCTCCTGGGAGGGCAGGGGTGGCCGGGAGGAACTTCTTGGATGTCCGTGGCTGGGGATGTGTCCCAGGGCTGGGCAGTGTGTGTGTGTGTGTGTGAGCCTCGTGCCCGCGGTGGGGGGAGGGGCCGGGGTGGCTGGAGGGAGCGCGGGACAGGACTGCCCAGCCCCAGGACCGCCTTCCTAAACCGCGCCCCCTCCTCGTTTGCCCAGTGGGCTTGGGGTGGGGGTGGTAGTGGGGGAAGGGGCTGGCCGGCCGGGGGCGCTCCCCGCTGGCTTGGGGCTTGGGTTCCGAGTGGGAAAGGAAGGCGATTCTCAGGGAGTATGTGTGACTCACACCCAGACCCAGACAGGATCCACAGCTAAAAATACCGCGGGGACAGGGGCGGGGGTGGCCCTGGCACAGGTGACTCAGGCCCAGGGAGTCTTCTAAGCCACCGCCTCCCCGCGGTGGGGGGTGGGGGGAATCCTGCCAGGTCACCACTCACACACACCCAGGTCACACTGGAGTTACACCGGGGAAGCTCAACGTTAGCCCTGGGGCATGGGGGCTGTGGACTCCCATCTGGGGCCCACGCACCTGGGCCGTGATGGCTGGAGTCCCATCCCATTACTGGAACCTCACCCCTCCCCCAAAGAGTCACCTTGAGTAGGAAACCCCCCCCTAGAGTGTGTGTGCAAAGCCAGCATTGGAGGGAGCAGGCCCTGTCCCCGGGAGGTGGAGGTGGGGGGACAGGGGCCCGGGACCCCCCTGCCCACTGCCCAGCCCCCATCTCACCTGGCCTCCAGCACAGAGCACCGCAGCCGGGGGGCCCGGGGCCCCGGCACCACCTCCAGCCGCAGGTGGATCTCGCCCTGCACCTCCTCGTTGGGGTCCACCTCCGTCAGGTGGGCCCAGCCACTGAAACCTGCGGGGCTGTGGCTTAGTGCGGCGGCAGAGGTGGGGGGGCTTCCCCTCCACACCCCTTCACCTTCCACCAGCCAGGTGCTACGGGGTCCCTCCCCACCCCCTCTCCCTGACCTGATCCCCTGTGACAGGCAGGAAATTGAGGCTCCTTAGCTGACCGGCAGCAACTGGCCCGCAGTTGCCCATGCCCTTGCTACGGGCCACGCTGTGCTCGGGGGTCCTGAGCCTGCCTCCTTGGGGGTCTGCCACCTCTGTCCTCAGTTCCCCCGCCTTAAAACAGGAAGAGAGGGGCTCTCGCTCCCCTGGGGCTGCTGGAGGAGAGTCAGGGGTCTCTGGACTCCAGAGGGGCTGGCTGGGCCTGCGGGCAGGAAAGGCCTTGGGCCTGGTGGGGCCAGGAGTCAGCAGGCTCGCAGACAGGAGCAGGTGTGCGCTGGGGGAAGCGGGGGAGCGGCCACAGAGCAGGTGGCAGAGCCTGCACTCAGGGGACACCTCGCCCTGGGGGAGGAGCCGTCCCGATCCAGGGGCAGCATGGGGGGTGCAGGAGATGCCGCCGGCCCGGGGTTCTGTGCAGAGGGAAGGTGTCTGGGAGGGCGGGGGAGGGGGGCTCTTACCCTTAGGGTGGGAGGCCAGGGTGTCCCGCGTGAAGCACACCTTGCCGATTACGTCATCTTGGCTGCAAGGTGGGGACGGAGTCAGAGCCAGGCAGGCTGTGGTGCTGCCCCCTGTGGCCCGGCACCTGCTCCCACCAAGCTCAGGGCTCCCCAGAGCGGGCAGGGAGGACGACACCCCAGTCCCCGGCAGCGTAGCCCGAGCGAGCTGGACTCAGGATCCTGCCTGCTGGACACTTGGGGGCGTGTGATGTTTCTACCTGTGGACCAACACAGCTGCCCACACACATGCCAAGTGCTTGCCCCCTCTGGGGGCCCACTGCATAAGGCCCCGCCCCATGCACGCTCTCGCACACGCGTGATGGGCCACGTGCACACCCTCTCCCCAGCCCCCAGCTGCAGTGGCCCCCAGCGAAGAGCAGGGCACACCCACCTGAGGGCGTCCTCATCCATCACGTAGAAGGCCACGGTGTGGAAGGTGGGCGGCAGGTGCACCTGATACTCCTCACCCCAGAAGGGGCACAGGGTCTTCCACACAGTGGCTGTCCTGTAGGAGCAGACCCTCAGCAGCCGCCCGGGGCCACCCAGGGCCTGGGCTGGGACAAGGCGGTGGTGGGGAGGCTGTGTGACATGAGCCTGCCTTCCCCACATCTCCCCCCGCCCCAACCCCAGTACCAACATCCGGCTCCGCCATCTGATGCTGTGTCCTCCCATCCCAGACCCCACCACCCACCACCCGTCATGACTCCCGGACTGTCCTCAGTGCAGGGGGCACGGGCATCTCACACTGGGAGAGACTGAGACCACCACTGGGAAGCGTTGGGACCACAGCCGGGTCTCCCTGCTCCACCCAGCACGGGTCAAACCTAAGAAGACTGGGCGGGGGGCTGAGGCCCCCAAGCACCAGATGATGGCTTAGTCCCGGGAGGGTCATCTGAGCTCTGTGGCCCATTGCCCTGTCTGTGTGGACACAGTCAGAGCCCCCGTGTCCTGTCCCCTCTTGCGTCCGTGTTCTGGAGAGACTATGGACCAAGATGTAGGCCCTGCTTCAGCTGGGAGCCTGGTGGCCTTGGCTAGGGGCGGGCCATGGACACTCAGGTGGGCAGCACAGCACAGCAGCTTTGGCTAGGAACTTGGGGGCAGAGGCCTGGGTGAGGACGGGCGTAGGACAGGCCACGACCCAGAGCCAGGACCAGACCAGGGAGGAGGTGCCCGCGCTCTGAGGTCCAGGCCCGTGACCTTGGGCCCTCACCGCTGTGTGGGGGTTAATGATACAGTGCCCAGCTGTTGCACTGAGTTAAATGGGATGGGAAAGGCTCCAGGGACAGCTGCTATGACAACACCACCTGCCTCTCAGGGTTGTAAAGATGAGAAGGCGGGGCAGAAGCAGGGGGAAGGCAGGTGAGCTGCAGGTGCGCAGCCCCTGGCCCAGTGCCAGGTGAGGATGAGGTCTGGCTCTCTCACCCGCTGCCTCCAAGCCCTCGCCCACCCCCTGTGGGAGGCTCAGCCCCACTCAGCCCGCCCCCAGCCCCACTCAGCTCGCACCAGCCCCCTGCCAACCCCGGGGAGTGGGCGGTACCTGATGATGGCTTCGCTGTCCACCTTCACGATGCAGTAGGGGTCACTGCTGCCGGTGCTGCAACACACAAGGCAGGGGGCGTGGTCAGCGAGGGGGCGGGGCCTGCCGGGCAGCTCCCGGCTGCCTGCCAGGGGCCCTCAGGGACCCCCCCCCCCTGGGAAAGCCAGGAAGGCGCCCGCCGAGTCCATAACGGCCCTCAGCACCGGGCTGGGAGGGGACGGATCGGAAAGGGCAGGCACCGCACCAGGGCTACCCCTCCCTGGGCAAGGGCCGGGTTGGGGGCGCTGTTCACCGTTCCTCCTGGGAGGGAGCAGAGGCAAGGGTACTCCTCCCTCCGGCCCTCCCCCACCCACCCCGGGCAAGCTACACCTCTGCCCCTTGAGCCTTTCACCCCGGCCCCTCCTCTAGGAACCCTCTCCTGCCCCGGGGTGGTCGCCCCTGGAATCTGCCGCCATAAGCTGCCTCCTCCATCTGCCTACGAGTAACCTGAGGGTGGGGCCCACTTGTGCGTTGCCAGGGCCTCACCAGGGCTGTGGCACAAGACCGGAGACTCACGAGTGTTTACTGAGTGCGTGGACAGTCTGCCAGGAGCTCCTGGCCATCTGGGAAGGGCAGAGCGGGCGAGGCAAAGCCGGGGCGTGGGTCTCAGCTTGCAGAGTGGAGGGTGAGGGGGTCCTGGGGTGCAGGGGATCAGGCCCAGGTGGGTACTCTGTGGAAGCCAGCCTCTGGGACCGCCCTTCTGGCCTGCCTTCCCCAAAAGGAAGCGTCACGGGGGGGCTGGGGAATTCCAAGTTCTGCTTCTCTTTTCAAATCGGGTTCTTCCAGCCAAGGAAGTCACAGGGCCGACCCAGGCAGACGCCGAGGGCTCCGTTTTCCAAGTCGGCACTGTCACACCCACTCCCGTGGTGGCTGCCCTGGAGCCCGGAGCCAGTCCCTCCCAGGGGCGCGCGGTGAATGTTCGCGCTGCCCAAGACCTCCCCCTGCCACCAATCCAGAGACCCTGTAGACACCCCAGCCTGCAGCCTACCAGCCCAAAGCCAGGGGGACCTCAGGACTCAAGCCACCAGGCCCCTGTGCAGCCCACGTGCAAGGCTGGGCTGCAGGACCCAGGATCCATGCGTGCATGTACTGGGGGTCTGCAAAAAGCTCCCCGGGGCTGGGGAGGGAGAACAGGGATTTGGCACAACTGTGAAGACGCTGCTTGGGGCATCCATATCTCCTATCAGAGTGCCCGGGTTCAAGTCCTGCCTCTGGCTCCTGACCCCCGCTTCCTGCCAATGCAGACCCTGGGAAGGCAGCAGGTGACGGCTCAGGTAGCCGGGTCCCTGCCCTCCATGGGGGAGAACCAGATGGTGTTCCCAGCTCCTGACTTCAGCCTGGCCCAGCCCTGGCTGTTGTGGGCATGTGGGGAGTGAACCAGTAGATGGAGAAACTCTTATCTCTGTCTTTCAAAATAAATAAACCATGTTGCATGTCAAGAGCCCACCTGGGCAGCTGGCAGAAGGGGCGGTGTCAGGACTGGGCTGATGCCAAGTTCAAGGCCCTGCGTGCCCCCATGGTCCCCGGTGAGCTCCTGGGGCCTGGCCCTGCCCGGCGCCCTCCTTCTCACAGCGGTCTGTGGCTGGGCTCCTGGTTCATTTCTCCTTCCCCAAGACGGCCGCGTGGGCCCAGGCTGGCCACCTCAGGGCCTCTATATTTAGGGCCTTGGCAGTTTACAGCTCTGGAGGAGAAAGGGTGAGGGCAAACCCTGAAATAGCCCTGGGCCCGTCCCCAGGGCCACGGGCCGTGGGAGCCCGTGGGTCACTGGTCACCGTGAGATTTGGCTGACCCAGGGACCCGGGGCCGGGGGCTGGTAGGAAGCAGCCCAGCGCGTGTGGGCAGGGGTGCAGGGGGTGCAGCAGCGCCTGCTACCCCGGAGGGGAATAAAAACTCAGTGCCGCTGCGTAGCGGGAAAAGCAGCCATCCGCAGCACCAGCATCCCATACGGGCGCTGGTTCGAGTCCTGGCTGCTCCACTTCTGATCCAGCTCTCTGCTATGGCCTGGGAAGGCAGTGGAGGATAGCCCAAGTGCTTGGGCCCCTGCACCCGCGTGGGAGACCAGGAGAAGCACCTGGCTCCTGGTTTCAGTCTGGCCCAGCCATGGCTGTTGTGGCCATTTGGGGAGTGAACCTGCAGATGGAAGACTTCTCTCTTCCTCTGCCTCTCCCTCCCTGTAACTCAGCCTTTCAAATAAAATAAATCACATGAGTGGACATGGCAGGGAGGCAGGCAGGGCAGGTAGTGAGCTCCCCGTCCTCAAAAGTGTGCAATTCCCGGCTGGAGGAGATACTGCTCAGGAGCCGGGCTGGGGGGGGGGGGGCGGGCTCCCCACCACTCCTGCCTAGGAACCCGGGGAGGCCGTCTGTGATCTCCACACCACTGCCGTGCCAGCTGCCAAACACAAGGCTCAGTGCCAGAGCCCTGGAGCCAGCCTGCCACCTCGGGCGGGTGGGGATCCTTGGCCTGTGTCTGCAGGGGACACAGCGGATTTGAATCCTGACCTCTCTGGCCACCTGCTGTGTGACCTTGTCTTCCTGGTGCCAAGTCTCCATTTCCCCATCAGCCTCACGCAGGCATGAGGTGGGAAGGTGCTCCACACCTCTCCAACTCCCAGCCGTGGCCCAGGTCCCTCAGGGCACCGGGACGCAACAGCTACTCCCGCGCGCGCGGGAGCCAGGAACCCGCTCAGGGTGCCAGGGAGAGCCCTGGGGAGGAAGAGAAGCCGGGGAGGAGCCTGGGAGATGAACAGATTGCAGATGGCAGGAGGCCGCTGGCTGTGCCAGGCAGGGGGCTGCGGAGGGCAGTGGCCCTCTAGCAGGGGCTGAGCTGGCCAGGTGGAGTAGGGGCTGGGCCGACACAGCTGGCAGTCAGCCCTGTGAGCTCCAGTCACCATGGGCAGGGGTGGAGAGGACACGTGAGTGGGGGACAGGACGAGGAGCGAGAGGCCGGAACCAGGGGGACTTGGAGGCCCCGTCCCTGTGCCCTGGGATGCTGAGAGCCTGGGCCAGCTGCTGCTCGGATGGGGAGGGAGGCGACAGACGGAGGGGCCGCTCCTCCGAGCAGCCACCAGCCAGAGGAGGCACCGATGACCTACTTACCAGTGTCTGTGTGTGTGTGTGTGTTGGGGGGGGTGCTTAGAGACAGGGCAGGGCCGAGACCCCTCTCAGAGCTCATCTGCCTTCCCACCCCACAGACCCCACCCCTGCTGCACAGAAACCCACCTTGAGATCCCCCCACCCCTCCCTGGCCATTCCCATGGCAACTGCGAAGCTCGGCCGGCCCAGGGGGCCTTGAACTGGAACTGCTCATGGCGCTGAGCACGCTGGGAAGCTCACAGGGTTCATTGTTCTTAAGAGAGATGCTCAGCCCCGCCCCCACTCCCTTCCTGGGCACCCGGGAGCCTGCAGAGGAGTCCAGTGTACTTTGGACCCCGGGCCACCTCCAGGCTCCTCTGCCTCCTGCCACACCACCACCCCCCCAGGCTGTCAGTTTCCCCCTCCCTCCCTCTACAGGGATTTCAACCCTCAGGTCACAAAAACAGAGCAAACTACCGACAGCTGCACAGGAAGACAGCGACAGAACCAAGCCGGAGAGCCGGGGAAGGGGCAGCTCATCTCTGCCACCCACTGAGGATTGTCCCCACCACCACCACATCTGGCCAGAGACCAGGAGAGCCCTGGATGTCAGCGCCTGTCAAGAGGCCAAAACTTCAAACCCTGCTCAGCTTCCTGGGATGAGCGCTTCCCCTCTCTGAACCTCGGCTTACCCATCTATAAAATGGGACGAGGATAATGGCCATGCAGGGGGTGGGGTTCAAGGATTTAAGGGGTGACTCAGGTAAAGCTGAGGGCACAAGCAACGGTGACCACCTGCCCATCCCGTCCCTGCAACCTGCACCCTGGCCCCCTGACCCTACCCCACTGCTGCAGCCATGCGCGCAGAAGCCCCGAGACAGCCCCTGGGCCCCAGAGCCTGGCCAGGGTCATGCCCCCAAGTACCAAGGGCTCTGGAATGGCTCAGGGAGACCCCCCTTTCTCTAAGGGGGCACCCCGCCCCCTGCAGCCACACCCAGCAGTTCACCTAGGACGTGTGAGCGCCAGTTCTGGTGCCTGAAGCCCCTTCCCCTCGGGGAAGCCCTCTCCCCACTCCCCAGCCCTCATGGGCACTCCTGCCCAGCTGTCACCCCCCAGCCCCGTCCTGTGCCCTCTTCCTCCTCCGCGGCCACCCCCGCCCCTCCCTCGCCTCTGCTCCACCCGTCGGCTGGCTGGTCTGGGGGACCCAGAAAAGGTCAGGCGCACAGAAGGGCGGCGCCCCCGCCCCTGCAAAGTTGGGGCTCCCACCCCCCGCCGCGCTCACATGTCCTTGGCGGGCAGGTTCTTCCCCTCCACGATGCGGATGGACAATGAGCTGCGCTTGGCCATCGCGGGTCCGGACCGCGGGGAAGCCCACGCCGAGGTCCTGGGAGGCAGGCGGCGGGCAGCGGGCCGGCGGGCGGGCGGGCGCCGGACTGGGCGCCTCGGGGGGGCGGGCGCGGGGGCGGGGCAGTCACTTCCACTCCATTCATCCCCGCCCCCGCCCCACGTGCCGGGGGGACGCTGAGCCCGCGTAGGCCAATCAGCGGCCGGAGGTTCCCGGGGCTGGGCGTGGCCATGCGGGGCCGCGGTGCTCATTGGCTGCCTGGGGCGGGAGAGGGGCGGGGCCTTCGCGGAGGCGCAGACACCGTGCGGGCGCGCGGGGCGCAGACCGGCGCCCCTGCAGGCCGGAGCCCCGGGCGCGGCGGCGCGGCGGGCGCGCAGGGGTGGGGATGGAGTCTTGCCTGCGAGAAGGCGCGCGAGGTGGAGGCGCGGACCCGCCGCGCGGGGACATCCCGGGCCTCGCCAGTCTGTTGCGCGGGAATGAATGAATGAATGAATGAGCGGTTGCAGGAACGGGGCCGACAACGTGGTGTTTGGGTTGCAACCGCCCGGCTGCAGAGGGAGGAGGCAGGAGGTGCGGGGCGCGGAGGCGGGGCCGGAGCA